TGGAGTAGGGCTGTTCCCACGCTTCACTTGCAGAGCTCCACCCCTGCACTGCTTCTCTTGCATGAGGTGAAAGAATCCCAACACCAGCAGCAGTAGCAGGACACCAGACCACAGGATTGGGGTAAGGTGTTTTGGCAGACCCTCTCAGCTAGGGATTCCTCTGGGCTATAATAAATGTGTGGCAGCAGAGCCATTAAGGCATTTTGCTACAGATTTAGAAGTACAAGTGCAAGTCTTGCTTTGGGCGGAGACTGAAAGCTGCATCCATTTGACCCAGGTCTGAGAGGCTGCCTGGTCATCAGTTAGGGGAAGCCAAGGTGATCAGGCATGATGCTGGCCACAGCCCTCACTTGTGACACTGCATACAGACACCAGCATACCTTACTCGACATAGCCCAAGCAGTCACCTCAGGCTGGGCTGAACTTCAATCCTTATACTCACTTCTACATCCAGGAGACTTCTGCCCATGCAGCATCCATCTTCCATGCATTTTCAGTCAGTTGTGATATCGCTTCACATGAAACCTACAGCTGTACTTGAGAAGTAAGTAATTACATACCTCAGTTTTTAATTTGGTATTTCTGTTTGAGGATATTAGCACAGACCTGAAGTCCAGGGAATAGTGCAGTCCTTCAGTACCTGAAGCCTTATAAAAATTTTAAGACAGACTACTGCCTATAGGACTCATCAAAAAACTAAATTCGAGCTCCAAGCACACACCTCCCAGGGAAACGTTTTCAGGGACAAGAATGATGAGGATTAATTTGAGGAAAGGACAAGGAAGAATCAGATGTAGTCACCTTTACAAGTAGCTAGAGAGGAAGACGGACTACGCACAGGTCTTCAGAGCCCTGGGTTTTAGTCCCAGTTCTGCTAGACTCACCATCAACAGAAGGTGAGCAGCTTTTCTTCCACCAAGCTACACAGATTTGGAGGGGTGATCTTTTCATGACAATATTGAGGGAGGCACACAAAATTGGATACTAGCTAAAATGCTGGCCCACATTGATCCTCAGAACAATACTCTGCAGACTTCTGGAGAGAGAGAGAGAGAGAAAAATCAGAGTGGCAGTAACAGTCAGCTCTGCTGCCAAAAAACAATATCTGCTTGAATGGTAATTTAAAACAAGATTGAAATAGAACTGCAGGTAGAGCCAGTCCAAAACCAAAAGTGTCTACAAGCTGCCACCCTGTGGCGATAACTGGGAGCAGACCGTCTCAGCGAGGATAGAAAATTGCACTCTTAAGTGAATGGCCTGAGCTGTACAGCATTACCAAATCTTTTTCCAAGGTTATATTGGTTTCCAAAAAACCCAGCTCTTGATTATATGAATTTCACCTTAGATTCCAAAAGTTTATAACTTCCATGGAACCAGAGAGAAACTTGGATGCAATGCGAGTGCACCTGAAATAGCCAAAAAGCTGAAAGGTGGGTGTGAAGGGGGTGGAAACATTGGCATGGTGGTTCTGAGTACCTGAAGTTGCCTTTTTTGGGGGGGGGAGGGGGGGGGGTAAGAGGAAGAGAAAAACAAAAACAAATACAAATAATTTACACAAGTATAACATTTGAAGCTAAACATAACACATTATTGGTTTGTGTGTTAATGCTGAGTGTACATGACAGGGACAGAATCTTGTATTACTCAATTCCATAAATACTAAGAAAAACCCAACAGACACACAGTTAAGAATATTGGGCATTACTCTGGAAGGAGGAAAAACCCAAATATTTCAGCTAAGGAGGAATTTTAAAGTTTCTATCAGTTTTGTAATAGAAAAAGCATTATTGAATAAGCCAAAAACTCTGTATTTGTTGATTTCAAAGGCTAAACAATTCCTGCCAAACTCACTCCTCCTGGAAAAGGAGTTGTTCGTCTCTTCAGTATTACTCTTGAATGAGTGTAAATTACTTTACCAAATAATTGTAACGCAAGGAATTTTTAAACTAGCTACAAGTATTTCTACACATAGGTAAATTCTTAGCTTCTCTCCCTTCTGTCAAAACCCTTCCAGCCCTCCTTGTTACGCCCTCAATGCCACTTTTCCAATATAAAAGTTAACACACACACAAGTCTTACAAGGACAAAGATCAAACATTTTATTCCTTGAGCTCCAGTGTTATGACTGTAGCAGCATTTCAGAAACCACATTTTCTGCAATGTTAAATATATGTTCTCTTTAAAAAAAAAAAAAGTACTATGTAAAATTCCAAGAAAGGCAGAAATGCAGTTTTAAAAACTGCAGATATCAACTTAAAACAAAAAAATATTTAACACTCATCTCCCTTAAAAAAAAAAAATGTGCGTTTGTTGCAGACAAAGCAGCAATACATGTGTTTCACATACAAAGTTTAAAATTCAGCAGAAAGTTGTTGGCAGAACAAACCAGCACACTCAGTTCTCCTAAATGAGATGCTACTCTACATAACTTTGGTGAAGATGCTTTAGCCTGGAGATCCAGCAGTTCAAGCTGGAGTAAATAAGAGCTACATTATGATTCCTGCAATAAAAGGAAAACTAGGCAAGGCTTTAGGATGTTCCCTTTCCACACTTAAACTATTGATCTGCTTTTGATTATAAAAACACAGAAGATTACACAGGGTTAGTCCTAAATTTTCAAGTGCTTCACACCCACGTACTCTCAACAACTTCAGTTCTGTGTAAAAGCTCACCTTGTCCCCATTATAGCGGTCAGATTTTCAAGGGTAATGCACTTGACATGCAAACTCTCAGGAGTCTTGAAAAATTATACTGATGCCTAAAGAGTAACAGAACTATCTGAAAACATGGTCCAAGTCCTAGTACTGAACTAGGTAAATCTGGCTGCTTGGGACCTCACTGCATCCCGAGACTGTTGGGGAGTGTTACCAAAAAATGAACCCCATTCACTCACACCCAGGCCTGCAGATTTGCAGTCAACAGCTGAGGCCCAGAGTGCATGAATTAACACTCGGGCTCTTGTCTACTCCATAAATTTGCAGGCCTGAGCACATTACGAGGAGGTGTGGTTTATTCCTCAGTGACTTATTCAGACCCTCACTGAAGGCAGTACAGACTGATCCCTGATGTCTTATCTTTCAGCACTTAGTCAATAGAAGCTTTGCCACTAACCCTAAAGATTGCAGGATCAACCTAAACTGGCCAGGCCAAAGTCATCAGCAGGATTCAAGCTAAGAAGTTGAAAGGAACAAAAACCCATGTAACTATTCAAAATAATGCAGGTCAGTTCAGTATTTAAGCAGTGGAGTTCCAGACGCTGAAGAGTTCACACTAAAGACGGATATATTACCTGGTCTTACTCTACAGCTATAATTTTCCTGCTTACTTAGCATCAAATATAGCCAAGCAGTCCCATTTTAAAGTAATGCTTTGAAAAAGGGAGGCTAAAACAAGATATGATATGTGCAGCTCCAGGTTACTGTCTCAAGTGACTTTCCAGAATAAGTACAACCTATTAGAAATTTCTTCCCCTGCCCCCCACTCCTCCTCCCCGTTCCCAATAGGTGCCAGTTCTTCACTTTCCCAGTCCAGAAGCAATTTCCTGTTGGCTTCCGATCTGCAACATTAATGTGAAACTTTAGGATATGTGGCCAGAAGAAAATCCAGTTTCCCCCGACACTGGCATATTCTCTCTTCAGGGGTAACAGCTATACCACAAAGCTGAATAGGGATTAATACACCCTCTCCAAGTATCACCACCTCATTTAAAAGGACTTGAACAGTTAAACCATCCATACACCTCTGGGGAAAAAAATCCCAACCACTTATTCTGACATGATCCTTGCTACAAGCAATCATTTCATACAACTGGAAGATCTACAGAGAAATGCCTTTGGATTACTGGAATCAAGATGGGGGAGAGGGGGAGGCTAACTGCTTTTATACCATCTTTGAAACAGAACCGTAATAAAAAGTTTCAAAGTTTACAAATCCCAGATTCTTATCAAGTGCTATGAACTGAAGGCGGTGCCTCTTGAAAGCGACTCATCCATTAAATAACTCTCTTCCAATGAAAAAAGTTAATGTTAACAAATTTTTCATTGCCACAACATAGTGTGAGGACCTTAAGAACCTGAGATTTGATTTCCAGAAAGTTGGCTATTTCTACATGTTGACAGGCTTGCCTCTAATAGAAATAAGCTATTTATATGACAGTTTCCCCCGTCATTCATGATGCAACCCCTAGTTTATTCTTGCATCATTTAAGAATTTGGAATGAAACTTGCAAAGTTGCCAAACCTGCCCCCTCCCTCCCCCCCAAACACCCCTTTTCTACCAAATTTTGAGAGGAAACTGGGTTTTCCAAATCCTTTCAAAACTTCAGCATAAAACTCTTTACAAGCTCACGTGCTAAGCACCTAGTCTTAGGAGACAACTATGAAACATTTCAAGTGCTGCATAATGGCAGTAACCTGGAGATGGCACATTATTCACTCTAGGATGCTAAATAATAATAATTAAAGCTTGTCAAAAACCTGCATTTATAATTTTAAAAATCCTTTTCAGTTGGGGAAGGAACAATTTCTACAAGGTGCATATAAATTTCCTTTTCAAGGGAATATATGGGGATTTAATTTCTCCAAATACTGGTCTACCAACTAATTAGCTGTGATTTAGTGTCATGTGAGATTACATGAAAGCCAGTGCCTAGTGGAGTATTTGCCTGCCAGTTTCTCTCAAACACCTTAATTGAAATGCATCAAATAGGTGGCGATTGTTCATTTAAAAAAAAAAAAAAAAGTTAGTTGTATTTTATATAAAAATATCACACCAAAAATATTAAAAAGCATGTTACACATGGTAAACTTTACCTTTTCCATATGAGCAAGAAAACCAGAAGTAACTGGTATAAAAGATACATGACAAACTTAAATATGAGGTTAGAGGGACACCCAGCTCCAATTTCATGTGTTAATTAGAGCAGTTCCAAGTGCTATGCCTTCTCCCAGACTGTCTGTCAACTTGTGGCTTTAAATCACACT